AAGCAAGGAAGCAAGGAAGCAAGCAAGGAAGCAAGGAAGCAAGGAAGCAAGGAAGCAAGGAAGCAAGGAAGCAAGGAAGCAAGGAAGGAAGCAAGCAAGCAAGCAAGCACAGAAGCAAGCACAGAAGCAAGCAAGTAAGCAAGCAAGCAAGCAAGGCAAGGCAAGGCAAAGCAAGGCAAAGAAAGGCAAGGCAAAGCAAGGCAAAGCAAGGCAAAGAAAGGCAAAGAAAGGCAAAGCCAAGCCAAGGCCAGGCCAAGCCAGGCCAGGCCAAGGCAGGCCAAGCCAGGCCAAGCCAAGCCACGCCAGGAAAGGCAAGGCGAGGCAAGCAAGCAAGCAAGCAACCAGGCAAGCAAGGAAGCAAGCAAACAAACAGACAACCAACGAAAACCAAAACACAATAAAACAAACAAAACGACCACAACTCGGAGACAGCGACCTCAGGACAGGAACCCACAGCACCAGTGGGAACTGCAAACACGGGGAAGGAACCAACAAAATATGTTGCCGAAAAAGAAAGAAACATCCAACGGGAAAGAATCACAGCGTTCTGGGAACTGGAAATACTCAACCCGAAAGGGGGCGACACAAGCATGGCTGCATGACTGTAGAAAAAAGGGGTTAATGCTACTCAAGAACACAAAACCGACTCAAAGAAAGACACGTCAAACCTTTCAGCTCCAAGATGCGACAAGTTCCAAGATCTCCTCAGATTTTCCCTGGGCATTGAAAAATGAGCTCGGGAGCAACAAGGCGGACAACAAAGAACAGGCCTCTGGAGCCCTTGAACAGCAAAGGTATATTCGCCATGGAAGCGCTACACCTTCCGCGATGAACCTTGGCTGATTAAGCAAAAGCCATCCAAGATGCACCTCATTCTGAGTGTCCAATCTGTGTCTCGCTGATGAGTCCAATCTGAGTTGGGAACTTCTGCAAGGCGGCTGCCCAATCAGGTGGCCATGCTTGAGCAGCACAGCTCTTGGCCGTGAAGTTCTTGTTTAGCCACCTGAGCTGAAGCTCATGTCAATACTAAAAGTCCTTTTCAGCGCTCAGGGAAGGCACACTTTTGTGCAAATGGCCTGATGATGTGACGATATGGGCACCACACTCCGGTGACAACTATGTCGAGCTTCGACTGTAACTCGAAAATCTGCGAGTAGAATGCACAAAGCAGCATCACTACTTATGGCCTGAGGTCTAAGAACTCTTCAACAATCATCTTTGGGATGTATTTAGGTCTACCTCCGCAGAACTCGTTTAGCTGCTTAGTCTTGCTGTCCGACTCTTGCCGTCTTCTTATACTGTGATTTGATATGTCCTAACTTTCAACTGACATTGCCTAAGTGACGGATGTCTGGAAGTTTCTATCTGCTACCCGCCCGAATCAACAAGTCCTGTGATTGTCCAAGTCTAAGTTGTGCATCCAAAAAGCTTGATTGAGTCTGCCAATCCTTTCCTTAGAGCAGTGCATAAAGTCAGAATTGGAACGAGCGCTCGGTCCTTCCTTCCAGGTATTGCGGTCAAGGATCTTGGGGTCCGCCTTGTTCTGGAATTGTGGGCACCAGGTCTGGCCGAACATGAGGTTTGTACACAGCAATCAGCAATTCTATCACTACACCAAGTTTGCTATCAAATCGTTACTGGTCTTGGACCAAAGTCAAATCGACGTTGAGCACCGTGACACCAGACGAAGAAAAAAGGGCCAGATTGAACCTCAGGAAGCTGGAAAAACAGGTGGATGCTTTCCGGATTTGACAGGGCACTATATAGTGCCTGCGAGTTGCGTTTCAGTCTCAGGTTCAATGACACCATTTATGAACTTGACGATCTCATCTTTGGTCTGACAAGATTGAAGAATCATGGCATTTGTATCAGTACGCATAGAAACTGCACCATGATTCCAGACCGCTCTTTTTTCACTCAGTGGCTAAATCACACACATATCAGCCATACTACCCTCAAGACCTTCCATGCTTTCAATTGTCTCAGGGAATGCCAAACTGGATCCCTACGGCCTAAACTCTGTTTGCACAAGAATTGGTGGGATTGAGTAGCAGCATGCGGAAACCACAGAAAGTCTCAGTGAGGCACAGCTCTTTCGAGATGATGCTCCACAAATATATATACACACACGCAACAAAAGAGATCCCTTGACTAGCGTCACTTGCCCTTTCCTTTGCCTGCACAGCAAGCTGACAATTACATGCATATCTGCAAAGAATACATACATCTGCGACAAATAAATCAAAGGTCAAAGGACTGAAGCCAAGACTGAGGTGTGATCATGCCAATGTCACACTAACATACTGTATGATAGTCAGTCATCACACACCATTTGCTTTCTGGGCAACGGCCCCACCTCTGCCCTAACTCACTTCTCAACAGCTGAATTACACTACGTAGCACTCTTTGAAAGCTGGCCTAAACCCTGTGAACCCCCACCTCCTTTGAAGTAGCCATAATTCTTGCCTCCACCGCCTCCACCTTTTCCTTTCATTCTCGGTTCCTGAAATGGCCCATGCTTTGGTGGTGTAGCTGTTGAGGCTGGACACGCACAGGTCGAAATGAAGTCTGGCAACAGATTGGTCATTGCCATCGGTGTACATTTGCATATGCATGTATGCACATGTATCGTGGTAGAGGTGCTGCTCCTTACCCACAGCCGACGGATCGTGCAAATACATGCAAAGTATGTATCCTGTAGCCATTCACATTATGTATGTTGTCCTGCTTTGATGTGGGAAACCATGATTCTTACCTTCCCCCTGCGAAAGGATATAGTTCCGAAGGTAGCAGTGCAATTTGCCTTCTGGATGATTGTTACTTGCGGTAAGCAATGCAAATTCTGGCAGATGAGGAGCATTTTGCCTGAGGCTCTGGCAAGAATGAGTGGATGAGAAATGAGAGCAAATGAGAAAAGCAAACACATTCATCTTAAGCTCTGACAGAGTAGAAGTCCAAGGAAACAACCCTGCTCCTGGGAAGATTCAGCGGCTAAAACAAGCCCGCACTCAACAATTGAAGGGATTGAAGGGCTTGAAAAGCCGACCGTCAAGACCCACACACGCTGGATCGAGGAGAATTGGTGGCCTTCATGACTTCATGGGGCAGCCACATGCAGGCGAAAGGTCTTCTGTGCACGCGCAAAGGAACGGGCACGCCAGTCGTCTCGGAGAAAGACCGCTTGTCTCACCCACGCCACTCTGGAATCTTTACTTCTAGCAGGACCAACGTGTCTTCTTGTTACGGGGTGTTACTCCGCGGTCAAATTAGCAAGTCCATTTCACTTGGCAGGGGTCAAGTATCCCCGCTCTCTTAACTTTGTTATCTTTATAACATTATGAAAACACGTGAACAAACGTGCGACCGCATGGTTTTCGTCTGCGTGGACGAGTCTTGAACCTGTATGTTGCGGGTATACCACAGCACTGGTAACTGCTTTACACCCTGCCTTTTCGTGGCTAGGGACTTGTCAAAAGCTCCCCTTGCCATGAAACCTCTTCAGTGCTCATCTTTTCAGATGCACCTACTCGATTTCAGGCTCGGGTTCATCAAGGACCATTGGGCCATCTCGACCTCGATCCTGCAACTCAAAAGCCGCTGCCACATCATGCTCTTCAGAGCTGCTGCTTTCATCTCCCCGTCTCCTTTGTCGTCTTCTTGGTGGCATCCTGAATTCCCTCCGCATTCTTGGTGGTCCCCAATTTGCAGCCATCCAGCCATCTGGCCATTCGCTTTCTTCCAAAGGGCAATTCACATCTTCATGCCCCTTCTTCACATGGTAGGTGTACTGCCTCAGGCTTCTGATGTAGTCAGTCACCTCCTTCCTTGTCTCTGCTCCGGTGATCATCAGCATCCGTTGGAGCTCTCTGAACATCTCGTATCCCGTAGGGATGTCTTCATCTGCTGGATCTTCTTCCATCATCTGGCGAAATTGTCTCACCTTCATGATGATGTAAACTTCAACGCCCACATCATTCTCAATCTGCTCAAGCCTGTATGCCTGATAGGCATCATCTTCCAGGTGTTCGTAGTCACCCACCGGCTCGATGCGTCCTTCCAGACTTCCATAGTCTGTCGTCAGGCTATTCTCAGATTCTTCATCTTCATCCCTCTGCCTTCTTTCCTCCTCTGTCTCAACTCTCACCATTCTCACATGCACTTCTGTCTCGCGCACATAGCCTTCATCGTCGATGTAAGAGCTTACTCTTACTTCACCATCCTGTTCTTGTGCTTCTTCTTCCATTTCTTCACCCCAAGGCGGGCCAACCACATCTCTGCAAGTTAATCCAGAGTTTCCTGCCCATTGAACCCGCTGTCTTCCTTCAGGTTCTTCGCTTGTCTCATCATTTTCATGTCTGGTCCTGTGCCCTGATGGCCAGTTTGACCAACTCTGCCATTCTGTGTCTCCTTGGTTCTCCGGCCATCTCCTTGGAGCGTTCCACATGCTCAAATCAATCCTCTGTTGTTCTTCATCTGAGGTGTAGGTCTCATCACCTCCGACTGCACTCCTCAGTGCTTGCCATGACGTCACAACTCTCTTGCTGTGTTCTTCAAGGCTTTCAGCAAGATCAGGATTGCAATGCTCAAGGTCACAATGGCGATTGTCAATCCCATCACCACTTGCTCAAGAGTCTCTTTTCCTGTCTCCCTTCTCCCAAGCAATCCCTCTGGCTGCTTCTGCGGCTCCTCTGGAAAGCACTGCTGATCTTCTGCCGTCGCCAGGCCCAAGGTTGAATCTGCTAGCAACGCCGTCATCGTGAGCCTCAGCAATCTCTTTGCCAGCTGGTTCGCCTGGGTGCTCTTCTCTGGTGTTCCTTCTTCTGCAAACACCATCCTTCTCACCTCTTGCAACCTCCTCTTTTGCTCAGCCTGTGCTCTCTCTGCTTCGAATTCTGTCTTGCCAAGCCGTTGTGAGGAGTCTGTAAAGCCCATGATGTACATCAAAAGGTTGATGCGCTTGCCTCCAAGCGTCTTGGTACCTATATCAGATGGATTTGTAGCCGTATCCAATTTCCGCAAATCTAAATCTTTGCCTCTGCTGGAGCCATAGTAGTCGGCCACTTAGGTGCTTCAACTTTCCAACACCTTCCTTCTGAGCAATCGCTATGCTCGAACTGTTGTCGCCATAGATGACCAACTTCACCTGCTCACCTGTAAGGTGTTCGACTGCAGCTTTCAGCAACAAACCTTCTGAAGCTCCTGACACCAAGGCAACATACTCTGCCTCCGTGCTTGACAACGTGATGTTCTTCTGGGTTCTGGCATGTTCTGGCATAGGAATGAATCCAATTGCCTGCCAAGAAAATACATCCTGCTGATGTCGAGCTTCGTGTCTGTTTGTTTCCTGACCAGTCTGAATCGCAGGTCACTTCCAGCAACCACATGTGCTCTGCTTCTTCAAACATGGGCGCTGTTGTCAGACCTCGTGTTCTGTTTCTGAAAGAGTTGCTCTTCGTCTGACTTCTCATCGCCAAATGCATGTCCATGGTTGTAGCCAAATAGCCAACCAACTTCTCGAGAGCCTTCCATGCACCTTCTGTTGGACTTTGGAGTCGTCCTGCCAATTCTTTCACATGAAACTGGATGTCTGGCCTGTCACCGGCCATGTACAGCAATGTTCCAACTGCTGACCTGTACATTGGCTTCCTCCAGTCGTCCTCCTCCATGGTCTTTCCATCCTCAATTCCGGCTCCTGGAGTTCTCGATCTCTTCAAGGGACTCATCATCTTCACAAGGTTGTGGATGTACTTCTCATTCACCATCATCTTGGTTTCTCAGGCATCCACCATCAAAGTCCTCTTCAAGAAACTCAGCACTTAGTCGTCCTCCACAGACACCTTATAGCGCTTCATGAGATGGTCAGTAACTCTGGCCACTTCTTTCTCTTCTCCTCCAAGGATCATGTCGTCGACATGGACTAGCAAGATCACATCTGGTCCTTTCCACAAAGTGGGCGCCTCAGCACATGGCGTGAGCCCTGCCTCAATCAGGCTTTTCCTTAGTTCTTGGAACCATTGTGCTGCACCTTCTCGTTGTCCTGGAAGAATCCGGCCAAGAATCCATTCCTGCTGGAGTCCAAGTCTTTCTGCCAATGCCTTGTCTAGGCTAACTTTCACCTTTCGTGGCTGTGCGCACATCAAATAGGCGTCCTTGACGTCCATAGTGATCATCTTCCAGCCTTTGACTTGACAAATGGCTGGGACCAATCTCAGGAGTGAATGTCCTCCCGCTGGTGCAAAGACGTCTGTCCTGTTAGGATCACACCAGGCAAAATCACGCGCAGCCAATCTTGCCCTTCTCTTCCACCTGTTTTTTTCGCCACCGCCAATCCATCACCAACTTTGTTGTGAGCAATGGAATGTCTTCCAAGTCATCGTTCTTTCCTGGTGGCAGTAAAACTGTCATGCCAATCAGCCTCTGAATCTCTTCCTTTGTGGCTTCATCTTCAATCTCTGCAAGCTCAGCCAGTGGCAACTCTGGAGGTTGATCTGGAAACTCCAAACTCTCATCTCCATCATACAGCAGTTCTCCAGCAACCACCATGCGAATTGTTGAAGCTGATGCTGGTTCCGGTTCATCCTTCTCTGAACTCGCTTTGGTCTTCAACATCTTCTTCGGTGCAGGCCTTGCCACTTTCTTTGGCATTTCATCTTCCACATCTCCTTCTCCACCTGACCTCTTTGGACTATCCATGGGGCTTCTTCTTGGACTGGCTGGCGCTTTGTCAACCTCGCTCTCAACCATAGGCTCCTCCAAACTATCAAGCAAGTCTTGCAGCAACGTGTCATCTGTAATCACCAGGCCTCCTTCATCCTTTTCTTCATCTGGTTGTGTTGGAGTGTAATCACTCGTGTCTGGATCATCTCCTTTGCTGCTTTCTTCATCTGCCCCTGCCTGTCTCTTCTCTCCTCGTCCTTCTTCACCCCTCAGCCTCGCCTCATGTTCTCTCCTCCTTAGCCAACTTCTTCTCCTCTGCTCGAATTCCTGGGGCGAGATCTGGAGGCAATGGGACCGTAGGAAATTTGCCTACCAGCGAAGAAGCTTTGGCACCAATCTGTCCAAACCCAATGTTCCATGGCCAGAACTTCACATACGTCACGGCCTCAGGGTCAAAAGGAGTCGGTAGCCTTCTGATGGTTCTTGTCCACTTCAAACCTGCAGCTGTTGCTACCATGTGGAAATCTGCTCTGTCTGTCTTCCCAAGCCATAAGTCCGGTTCAAACTTGTCACTGCCGTTGGCTCTTTTCACCCTTGCCAACACTCTTTCACCGAAGACTGCAACTTTGCCACAGTACTTTCTTCCTGTCCTGGTCTCATAGGCTGTTGGTCCACCTCCTTGTCTTCTGTAGTGTTTCAACAACCAGCCAGCATGGCGCATAGCCCAAATGAACACCGGCGAAGATGGCTTGATGTGCATCTGACAGCCTTCTTTGACACCGTGCACCAAGGTCCTCGCCACGCCTATCACCGTCTGGATCTCTCTCTCCACACGACCATTGGCCTGTGAATCTGCTGGGCCACTGATCTCAATGTTTGTGTGAAATCCCAATCTCAACCTTGCTTGTTGAAGTACCTCCAACAACATTCTCATCGAGGGTTCTCCATCTTGAGGATAACTCGTGAGTACCCCAAGCTCCCAATGAACCTCATCGCCTGCTCAGCCATGAACTTCAGGTGGGCCCTGCCTTTCCCTGGTGTTGGCACATATAAGACTGCATGTGACCAATCATCTGTCACCACCAGGCATGTTCCTCCTCTCAAATCACCTTGGTAGATGCGCAGGTCCTCTTTCACTTCAACATCCACCTCATCATCACCTCGGCTGAAACAGAAAGTCCATTGAGATCACGGGCATCTCTGCTTTTGCTTCCTGTCGTGAAGCATGCTTGGCGCTCAGATGATAATCATCGCGCCCTCTTCTGGCACCAAGGTTGGTATGGAAAGTGAGTCAACTCATGAACTTGTCTTTCCGCTTTCGAAGGCATCCTCGGCACTGGCTGCCCTTTGGCCTCTTCTCCTTCATCAGCCTTCATTCTCTGAAATTCTTTCCTTGACAGCTCGACGCTCAAGTTCTCAGCAAAATGCTGATAGTGATGCACGAGCATCTTCCATGCCTCCTTCTTATTCTTTCCTCTGCCAAGGCCACACTTCTTCAACGCTCTTCTCAACTCCCTCAACGACGAAGTTTCTCTGTAAGCTTCACCTTCGACTTCAACTTCGCTCTCAGGAACAAGAGGGGCTTTCTGGCGTCCAAATGGGTCGCCATCATCAATGGGCTCTTGTTCACCCATTTCTTCCTCATCATCTTCCTCCTCATAGACTCCATCTTCAAGGCTGTTGCCAAACCAACCTTCGACAACTGCACTTCCCTCCTTCTTCTTCTTTTCCCCAAGGTCGAACTTCTTGTAGATGTCGGGCCTCAAGAACGGTGAATCATCTCCTGGGCTTATCACTCCCAATGCCATGAAATCGTCCACCGTTTGGTGAAAGAAGCTAACTGTCTTCACTTCTTCACCTTCACATTCTTCGATCTCATCTTCGTCCTGCTTCTGCTCGGCCATTTCGACCAATTCCGTCACCCGGTCAATCGGGAATCCCACTTCTCGGTAGGTCATGGGAAGCACCGAGATGTCAGCACCTGAGTCGAGGATCACCATTGCCCATCTACTCCAGCGACCGTGCGAACAAAGTCAACTTTGTTGCATCCCTTCCTGTGGGGGCCTCGAACCTCCACCATCGACCAAGTCCTCAAAACCCACAAAATGAGCTTCTCCTTGGCCTTCACTTGGATCTTTGAACATGATCCAATCTTCATCATTGTCGCTGTAGGTGAGGTCATAGGTTTCAGTCCCCACCATCCGGACACGCCCAACTGCATTGTCCTCTTCATCCTCATCGAGGATCACCGTCTCGACCCTTCTGACATTCTTCGAGCTTGTTGATGGCGTCGCACCTGATGCCTGGGCAACACTTGCACTGTCTCCCACTGAAGTCGTGACAGTGGAAGATGTCTCACTGACTTGTCTCAATGCCCTCATTGGACATTCCTTGCTCCAACGGCCTTTTCCGCCACAGAGCTTGCAGGCGTCTGAAGATACACCTTTGCCCTTTCCTTTGGCATCTTTGCCTTTGCCATCCTTTCCTTTGTACTGCTTGCCCTTGCCCTTAACTGCCAAAACCTTTTCCTTTCTGCTTGCCCTTGGACTTGCCGCCTTTGTCCTTCCCTTTTCCTTCCCCTTTCTCTTTACCTTTCACTCTGTCATTATCCATGGGGATCACCTCATCGCGCCTATCGTGGTCCTTGGTGATGGCCAGTTCCTTGTAGATCGCCTGGCTCCCCCATGAAGTGGTGGTTCGCTCATAGGCCAACATCTTCTCTCTGGCCTCCTTATAGGACGTGTCCTCCGTCATCTGCAACTGCAAGCGCTGTCTGACTGCAGCTGGCATCACCCTCAACAGCACGCTCAACTTGGTGTTGTCACCAATCTCCTCCTTGGCCACCTTGCCATACTCTTCAGCCAACCTCTCCAGCCCAAGCACCTGCTCGAGCATGGTCATCCCCTTGTCCTTCGTGAAGTTGGGGTGGTTGAGGAAGGCTTGCAGCAAAGCGATCGACCTCGATCTCGTCTTTGGAGCCAACTCGAGGCTCAGCTGCCTCCACACCTCATAGCCATTGCGGCCTTCAACTGCCCTCAGCAACTTGAGAGGCCTATTCCGTAGCAGCCCAACCAAAATGGCATAGAGCTTCTCTGACCTTCCTTTCTCTTCTGCTGTCATGCTGGAGAGCTTCACCTCGCTCTCTGAGCCCTCAATCGTGTCCAGCTCCTTGTTGTAGGCTTCTTCGGCGAAAGTGATCCAGCTCTTGAAAGCTAATCGCCAGTCTTGCCACTGTGACAGCTCTTCTTCCATGTTCTTTGGCTCAAAAACCTCAGGTGATCTCACCACCTTGCTTGCCGCAGCGAATCCTTCGCCACTTTTCTTTCCTTCTTTCATCTCTTTCAGCGTCTTGACCGCCTCCTGGGCCATCGCGGCTGACTGCTGGCTAGCGGCCACCAATGCTTTTGCCACCTGTTCATCCATTTCTTCTTTTCTTCTTCACTTCTTCTTCACTTCCCTGGATCTTTCTTCTTCTCCCGGGGTATATTTATTGAGCCCCCGGGTCGGCTCCGCTACCATGAAAACACGTGAACGAACGTGCGACCGCCCGGTTTTCGTCTGCGTGGACGAGTCTTGAACCTGTATGTTGCGGGTATACCACAGCACTGGTAACTGCTTTACACATTAGAACAGGTCTGGAGGGAGAAAATTCAACTGCGTCAGGTGACATATACAAGTCTCTTGCAGGATGCTAAAGGGAAAGGGTGTTCACTCTGGAACCGTCAAGAAGAAAATCATTGGTCCCGGTGGTGTATGAGCTGAGGTGGCAAAGTCTTCACCTGGGAACATGTTAAGGAAGCAGGAAGCATGCTGTTGATGAAAGGAGGGATGGTCTATGACGGCCCACATCATGGGAGTTTTAAATGATGATAAATGAGGATGTCACTAGCTCAATGAAATGATAAAACGTGGGTTTGATAGCGCACAACCTACACGGACCCAGCTAATTGCCTTTCTCGTTGTGATTGTCAACAGATCCCACGCTTGTTTGCAGACGGCAGACCACCATCGCCAAACAAAGCATTTTGCAGTTCGATTGCTTCTACCAACAGGCAAGCCTCCATCCAGTCATCATATCCTCCCTGGGCAGGTCAGCTGCAGCCATTGCACCAAAATAAATCTCATTACTCATTACATCAACAGCTGCTGCAACGCAAGACCGGGCCTTCATGCTATATCCCTTTCCCATGCCCTGGAAGTCGGGCACAGCCCATCAAGAAACAAGATCAAAGGTCTTGTGGTCAAAGGTCAAAGGGCTTGCTTCCAGAGCCAAGACAATTCAAGTGCTTCCCCAAATGGCCTTCCTTTCAAGAATTCTTTGCGGTGGAGGTGATGCCTCAGTCACACTTTGATATGTAACATTCGGCCACCACATTCTTGCAGTCTGCAACCTGCCGTCTGCATGAGAGCCCCTACCTTCACCATTCTGTCCCTCCTTCTTGCCCTGGGTTCCTGCGCACAGGCCAAGAAGGAATGGCAGTTGAAACCACGTTTGTCCAGAAAGGTCCAAAAGGTCAAGGGTACCATTTGAGGGTCCCTCCCCATGAATACACACATCAACATCCTGTGTAATTGCACTCTTTAAACATCCTCTTGGATTCGGACGGTGGTCCCTTTGAGTGCTTATTAACATTTGACTGTTGTTCTTCGGATTCTGTTCGAAACATTTCTGTTATGTTTAACATTTGCTGTTGTTAACATTTAACATGTTCGAAACATGTCTCGCTAACATTTAACACTTTCTGTTGTTTTTTTACATTGACTCTCCTTCATTTGCTTTATATGAAATTCAATGGTTCTCTTTGAACTTCATTTTCAGTGAAACCACCTTCTTTGTGTCCCTCTGAGTTCCTTCGAAATTGAATTTGCGTTTTGTGTAAACTCCTTGTGAATCTAATGTCTGTATGTTTTCCTTGGGCACAGGTTAGGTTCGACAGCGGACGACAGATCATTCAAAAAGGTCAACTCTAAACCTAAATTCTTGAGAAATCTTCTGTGCCAAAACAAAGAGGGGAGCAGAGAAGAAAGTAGAAACACAGAAAGACGCAGGAAAGGAAAGAAAGTACAACTGAAAGCTACTGATAACACACAAAACAGAAAAACACAAACAAACGGAAATCCAAAACTACATGTCCATATTGAGAAGGAATCGCACCGCAAGTACTTATATAACATTCTTTCGGGACGCATTGTTTCAGGGAAATGGCTTGGTTTAATGGGGAAATGCTTCATGTAGCAAAATGCGGTATTCTGCTTGACTTGCAAGTGACGAGAAGGGGTCAAGAGGCACAGGAAGTCATGCAATGGCAAGGTTTCCCACGAGATTAAAGGTGCATGAGGCCCGTCCTCTTCATCAACAAGCGGAACTTTTGGCGGCGTTGAAGGTTTAAAACCTAACAGGCAGGGCACGCACCATGTGATGTCCATCTACCATGGTGGCACTCAGCGGTGCCTCACCAAGAGTCCAAGAGTCTTGGGCACTGGCTTTGAATTACTCTAGCTGCCTCCACCAAAGGCTCCAGAGCAGCTAGTTTCTCCTTCACCCAAATCTGGTAACCAAATGTGGCTAAAGTTTCTGCTAGAACATTACTTTCAAAGGATGCGATAGCTGTCCTTCAAGATCTCGTTTTCTGCCTTCAAGGCCTGGCCAGCACTATGGTCACTGTGTGCAACCACGGCTCAAATCGGTCCAAGAGAGTCCAAGAGCCTGAAGCTCCTGAGAGGTCTTGTTTGGCTTTGACCTGCTCTAACCAGTCACGTTTACCATGGAGTGAAGGTAGATCAGCCTAAATTAAATGTTCTTGGACCTGATGGACCTCAATGCATTCTTCATCTCGTTGGCAGTCTCTGTGGCCTCAGACCATGCGGCAAATGGCACGCAAGTGCCGTTTTATGTTGGTGTTGCAAAAACATCAAAAACGATGTGTGTGATAGGCAGGTCGTGGGTTCAGCAATGTGGATTGACGAGTCCCTGGGGTTTTTGAAGCTGAATTGTTGACAAACACTGTGTTACTGTAGACAAACTCATCACGCGCCAGCTGCTAAGTCGCGGTGTTAAAAATAGAAGAGTTTGCAAAGAACAACGAACCCTTCGTCAGGCGCTTCAAGCATGAAATCCACTTCACGCCGTGGGCACTTTTGTTCTGCACAAAAAGAAAGTCAGTGCAAAGAAAGAAAGGACGCGTATTTGTGTTTTGGGCTCTCTTGAATCAAATTGGACTGCTCGACATTACAGTTGCGCCCTTTCCTGGACAGCCTTGTTCTGGAGATATTGTTCTAGATGCGCTAGTTTGTTTATGCGTTGTGTTTTTTGGTGTTATGCTTTGGGGGGGACCTTTTCTTCCAACGGTAACAGTACGGCAAGTAATTATACACTGATACACTAATTTTGACACCGTCAAGGTTCAAGAATATCTAACGCTATATATTTATATATATATATGCCTCTCAAATTGACTATCTGCTGGAGAGGCGCTACTGCAGTTCACCGCTCTTCGCGCTTGCCCTTTTCTTCTTCGCATCAAGTCTCGCGTGTACCATGTCATGAAACCTGTGATCGCACAGGATTAACGTTGGGGCGCTTACCAGCATGCAAAGTCCACCTTTAGGCGCAGGCCCTCTGCAACCCAGGGTGGTCTGTCCAGTCCCACCAGAGAAAACCCAAGGCGCTCCATGCTAGACCCCAACGCATTTAAAGGAATTCGGCTATGCGGATGACAATGAAGCGCAGCAGATGTATTCCCAAAAGAGCATTGGTTTTCAAATAAAACAAGAATGCAGCGATCAGACGACTGAGGACTTCCAATTCCGGATTCTCCGACCGTCCCCGGATCAAACACATCAAACTTGCGAAGTTATTTACCAACACCGGCTGTCCAGCCTTAAAAAGCATTCTTAAGGTTTCAAACCTTAGAAAACGATTTCCAGTGGATATATGCTCAAAAGACAAGACCTGGGAGTCAAGCACTGCAGGGCAGCTTGAAGAAGCTCTGCTACCAATTTCTTGCCAAAGCATGCCTTAAACTCCGAGAAGTGTTTGGCAAAGACGATTGTGTCAAATCAGAAGGCGCCTGTCTCCCTATAGTTTGTCATTTTTGAAGCTTCCTCTTCCTATAGTTTATAAGTTTGGACTTCCACCCTCATCATATTTCAACACTTAAACTGTCAACACTTCGTTGGCGAGTCACATTTCCCCAATGTGATCGATTCCGGATCGAAGGCAAAGGCGCGGGCAACTAGTGCCATGAAAACCATAAGAAGCTCGAGCGGTGCTACCTCGCGCTCAGAAGCGGACCAGATCGTGAATAGATCTCCGGAGGAATGACAGCCACGAAGGCTTCGCGCCCCTGCGAAAGGCCGTCCTGCCACGCAATCAAGAAGCCACCGTCGCGAGGCCGTTCGAAGCCGCGTCTGACGCGGCGACACAACGTCTGGACATGAAAGTGGAAATTGATAGGAATCTGGCGGCGAGGAAGGCCTCGATGACGGCGAAGCTCGTCAGCAAAGCTGGAGTCAACCGGTGGGACCTCTGGTACTGGTATTGTGATGTTCCTTCTGCTCGAGGAAGTTCAGGACTCCGTATAGCTTAGCGCTAGCTCCTGGGGACAAACAGGAGGTGTCCCGAGCTGCGGCCAAATATGGCCTTCACTTTGGATTGGAGTCGCTTTTCTAAAATCAGAAGGAGACGGCTCCAGTGGCCTGCAAGGTACTGAAACCCGAAGTCCAAGCCCAGGGGTGTTCCAGTGGTGGCCAGCGGCTGCGACTTCTTCAGCCAACGGTGCGCTTATAGAGGTGATAAAGCTGTTGGAAGCTCCATTGGGATGACTTGTTGTTCAACGAGATGTCAGTCACGCGCGCATCGTCAAGATACATGGAGACCAAGACTCGTAGCAGGCGTCGAATCTGCTGTATCTGTTCAATTGGAAGCTTGTAACAGCGAGTGGAAGGCCGAACAACAAACTGCTGTACACCTGGAAGGCTGGTGCCTGCCACTCGCGGCGCAAGAAACAGACAACACAGGCGGCTGCTTCGGTTCGGGAGATGGGCGAATGCCTGTATAGGCATCGGGCCAGTCCTACCCACTACCAGGACTACCAAACTCGCCCAGTCACTCTGGGAAGCTGTGCGGCCACGGCGGCTACATGCTGAGCTGGGCCAAAGGACTGCACAGCACAAGCTTGTCGCTGTCTCTGGAAGTGGCCAATTGACCTCCTCGGGCGGCATCATCAATCACGCTTTGCTTGCCGGAGGCTTGCGTCATCACGCACGTGTGGAATCAGAGGGCCCCGCCAACTCGCGATGGAGATGCTGCTGAACTAAAAAGCCCTGTGGTTCTTTAGGGACTGCTCCAGGGTGAAAAGGTCATCCTTGCCCGGCTTGAGGGTGAGCAATGGGACTCAGTGTGGTCCTGCCGTCCAAGGAGAGAAGCCCAACCTCCTGCACGGCAAAGACGCGTAGCCGACTGCAGGCAGCCCTGCCACGGAGCCGTGCGGGTAGGTGACATCTGCCCATGAGGTCAGACAACAGTTGCTGCGGAACCACCAAGGACTGCGATCCAAAGACAAAGACGCCGTCCCCGCTGAAGGGGGACTGGCGCAGGCGAAAAGGACCAGGCAGGGTCCCTCCCCGCTCGCCTTGATTCATCCGACGCTGCCTCCATCGCTTCCAGAGAGTGGCTTCGAGCTACCCCGGAATCGCGACACCTCGGCTCCGGTACCAAAATGTGGAGGAGCGAGCTGGGGCCTGGGACACACTCCCTCAGCCCTCCCTCGCCCTACTCCAAGGCAAGCTACCGGTGGAAAGAGGATGCTCCAGGCAATGGGGCAGCCCCCACCTGAAGCGGGGCATGGCCCCAATACGGCCGGGGCTCTCTGGCTCCAACGTCTGCCCCGAGCGGATTAAAAGAGAGGCCGCCTCGAAGGTCACTCCTCGCCAAAGGCTCCACCAAAGGCCTCTCCCCCCCTGAAAACACCCTCCTTGTCACTCGGGGAGGAGATAAATCTACCGGCCTCACGTCACTCGCGAGGTATTCCCCTCAAAAGCAAGTTTGGTTCAAGCGGGGGCCCTTGAGCCAAAATATAGAATGAACTATATATAGTTAATGAGATGAACAATGCAAACCCCAGCCTTCCAAACCTGATGCATAATACATAACTATATAAATAATCATTCACTGATTCACTGACTGATGCAACGCACGCGTCGAAGAAAGCGAGACAGGAACCAAAACACAGAAATTCAAGAACTGTTGTTTTTGACTCTTGTTTTACGACTGTTGTTGTTTTTGTGACCTTCTTTGTGTGCCTGTTGTATCAAGGTATTTATATAGCGCTTGGGGTTCTCCAAGGTGCAAGCTCACAGAAACTACAAAGATGAACTAGTACTAGTAGCATAGTATCAAACAACGGTTTTAAGATGTTTTAAGTGGTAAACTTCAAGCAACACTCCAATTACGACTAACACATCAACATGGCCCACAATCTACGCCAAATGGCGTCTCGTACGTTCAGGTTGGAATCTCGGAATATTCTGCCTTTCTTTCAGGGAAGTCTACAAACGGAGAGCTGTGACAGTCTCACAAAACCCCCCGCCAACTCTTCCCCACCACAGGCCTGGTCCTTATCAATCAATTCCGTCGCTGAAGGTCCCATAGTCAACATATTGTCATCCTCTCAGAGACACGAGAATACCAGAAAGCTAGAAACACAAACCGCTCCCCTACACTGCTACACGCTAGACAAGTCCTTGTACCGAGGTATGACGTGCACATGAGGGTGGAATACCTGGACCCATTGAACTGTGGAAGTGCTGCAACTGCAGATCAAACAATGCATGGGAGAGCACTATCTGCCCAGCATCTGCCCCCAAATTTGAGATGACGTTCAATGCCTGTGCAAGGCGAGAACTCGTTTAATCTGACATTCACATGCAACATTGCCATTTGCCATCGTTCACTCAACACAGTTCATGTTCCGCGCTTTAGGCCAAACACCATGTCAAACAATCTCAAAAATATATGATGAATCGTCATTGTCAAAGATTTGGGTTTGGAGTCAACACTAAGCAGCAACACCTCCATGCCGGAACAGTTGATTACTGGTGAGCCTGGCAACCTGTAGCGCGCTTGACTGCTTTGCACAGTCGCGGAAGCCTTGGCCAGAACCCAGCTAGAGCATACAACAGCTGAAACTGGTGGTAGCACACATGGAAGACCTGCTGGCGACTTAGTGCAACTTGCTTCTTTTTTTGTCATTCTCTGTGGTAGTTCTTTAGTAAACAACTGCTTCATGCCGGATGCCGGCATGTCGATTTGTTTGGCGCTCTCGCATTCTATATTCTACATGTTAAATCTTCACCGTGAGTCTCGCACTCACTGAGAAATGCTGCAGCGGCATCTGGCGGCCTCAAAGTTCTTCAAAACAGGTTTGGGCTTAGAAATCTGAACTGGGAGGCCCAACATGCTCTCCAACGAAGTGAAGCCCTGCAGAAGCAGCACTGTGAGAATGTCTCCACAAGGAATGGATTTTTGCCCAAAGTCTGTCCTTGCGCTTGGGAATGATGACCGCATGTCCTTTTGTTTTCGGGAACGCGTCCAAGAACGCAAGAGTGTCCTGGAAAAAACTTGCGAATCTGCACTCTCTCTTTCATGACGCATCGAACCGCATTGCCAAGCGTGCTCATGCATGCTCGAGACCCGGCTTGTTCAGTGCTTTCATCAGCAATGTGTGTGTGTGTCTGTGTCAGCTCCCGTCTCCAGGGACACTACTTTTCACTACCTTAACTGCGCGCAGACTTTCGCAGGGGGCGACAGAGTCGCTGCATGGCTGTCGCCAACGAAGCTCCATGGAGTTGACTAGGATATCACGGCTGATCACCGTGACGGACCTGCTCTAATTTTAACCCACTCTTCACGCTTCACCTTTGTTGATGCAATGCTGTTACTCCGGACTTCTTCACTTTTCGGTTCACCAAGTCAAGGTCTAACTTGCAGCAAAAATAAAGTGCTAATGCTCACCGCGAAACACTGAAGTTTAGCTCCACGGGGCACTCATCTTAAATGTGTATCGCAACTTCTTCCCACCGTGGTAAGCTGTGTGATCCCCACCGGCGCCGTTTCTGAATCTCTACTCCCTTCCAGGAGAGAAATTTCCGCAAAGTCTTTTCAGGACCTCTTCTTGACGGAGGCGTTTCATACTCGAAGAAAAATTTCAGAGTTTGTCTCACTCTTTAACTTTGAATCTTTGCTGCAGAGCTACTGCAAACCCACTACTGAAACAGTCTCACGCGTGAATATTTCAGTTTCTAGTCTAAACAAAATTTGCCGATTCGTTCGGCACTCTTGTTCGGAACACAAGTTTTTGCAATTAATTGTATCTCCTTCCTGCTTCGCTTCTCTTTTCTGCTTTCTCTCTCTTCCTAGAGGCTTGTTGCGTGATGTTATGTTATGTAAAACTCAAGTTGTGCCGGAATCGGCTTCCTTGTGTCTCCAACACAGATCCTACTGGACCTCCATCAATTTGCCGTTCATTCGGCACACTTGCTCGGAAGACGCCTGTTTTTCTCTCCTTCCAGACCTCTGCTTTGGTTTCTTCTAGAGGCTTGTTAGGGTTGTCAAAACAAGTTCTTTTCCCGAACTGACTGAGTACACCCACTTTCACTCTTGCCCCTTTCTTTTTGCTCTTTCTCCCTTTCTCTCTTCTTCTACAGGCTTTTGAGGTGGCTATTCAGGATCTTTTTGGCACGCTTCTAGCAGCGCCGATGCGGCACATTGTTCGCCAACGAAGCTCCATGCAGTTGACTAGGGTATCACGGCTGATCACCGTGACGGACCTGCTCTAACTTTAACCCACTCTTCACGTTTCACCTTTGTTGAAACAATACTGTTACGAGCATGGTGGCTAAGTCACATTCATCGGGTTGTGTCACATCATCCCAATGGTACGGCCTGAAAAGTCGGAAGTGACATCAGGGGCCCGAAAGTCACATCAGAAAATGTACTTCTAGCATGGCACAGCCGCAAAAAGCTACTATGAGGATTTTTGTATGAACAACAGCAAACACACATTCTGACTTGTTCAAATGAAATTTGAAGGCAGATCACATTGGCACGGCCATTATTGGACCTTTCTACATACTGTTTGGAAAAACATAGCCCCTAGTGGCACAAGCACAAGAAGATGCTCATGATTTTCCAATGTTAGATCTAACACCCAAAGGCACGCCGCCAGCAGACAACCACTTATCTTACTATGTCAACAGTCAAACCTGGTGGCACAGCCGCGCATTGTAAATTGCAGACCCTGAAGCTGCCCCACCATTTCCTGTTCTCCTAGGAGGATGCTTCGCCATAAATGGAAACAAAAACGTCACAGAGGCCTAAAACCTGCAAATATTTGTGCACACGAAAGTGAAGCCGAACTTGCAAGGAACACCATTGTGCGCAGTCAAGCAATCTAAACAAATCCCTTGAATAATATTGTTGAACATGTTTGCACTGGAACGCAAAATGAGCCAGCATCCCTATTATAGAGTAAATGGCAACGGATGCAAGACCGTCAGATTCAATCATAGAAAACTGCAACTTTTACCTAGCGCACAGCCCAAAAAACGCGTAGGTTTTACAAAGTCCGAATCTTGCAAATCTCAACTCTTGCCTAGCGCACAGCCTCCCGATACGACTTTTGAGGAGTTGATACGACTTAAGCCGACCACTAGTACTCCGGGCTTCTTCGCTTTTCGGTTCACTAAGTCAAGGTCTAACTTGCAGTAAGAATAAAGCGCTAATGCTCACCGCGAAACACTGAAGCTTAGCTCCGCGGAGCACTCATCTTAAGTGTTTGCGAAGTAAGCCTGTAGTGGACATGAAAATAACAAACAGCAAAGGTTGATAAGCTGGTGCACAACCAGACTATTTGTGGGTCGAACCAATGACAAATCAAACTCCTCAAGCAGCTTTTGAAGTTAAAGGGTGATTAAGACACAACATTGAGTGCTCAGCAAGCAAACCAACAGGCACGAAGCACCAGCGTCCTCTGTTTCAAAAATCTTGAAGCAAGGAATAGTGCCGTCAAGAATTTTTGCAAAAATGTTGTCATCACCTCAATTGCCAAGGAAAGGCACCAAAACGTGCAGCAGCGCTGCCACCACACCCCAATGATAAGGTCAAACAAAACCCGCACCAGCATACGGAATACGACCGACAAATCCCCGATTCTGTTGTTGGGATGCGCAGCGTGAGCATTAGCGGAACAAAGCCGTCGCGATGAAGGAGCGGGACCCACACACAGGTGCGCTTGCCCACAAGCATGTACTCCAAAAAGAGACTAAGGGGCTCAGTTCTTTCGGGGGTTCTCTTTCCTCAGGGGGCATCAAGAGATGGCAGCACAATGGCTGTGGCTTTAAACTGCCCCCAAAATGTTGGGAGTCTACAACGACAGTAGCCAGCTTCGTTCATCCAGCCAGCAGCATTTTCCCTCAAAACCCAGGAGCCAGATGAATAGTGCTCATCAGCTATCCTGCGTTCAGTAGGTAGTAGCTACCTATTGCTAGTAGCTATCTCTTCTAGCGGCCTGCCCGTCACCCGGGCTAATTTAAAGAAAAGTTGAAGAACATGAACTTACTTTACTTCGAGCGATCCCCACCATGAGATTTCAATCACTTGTCTTCATGCCATGGTGAGGTGCATGTTGCCATGGTCGTGAGTTTTGTGGCTCTCGATTTTGCTTGTGGGTCCTCGGGTTGTGCCCTGTGGTTATGTTTTGTTTTTGTGCGTTGTGGTTCTGTGCTGTGGTTGTGTTTGTGGTTGTGTGTTTGTGATTGTATTTGTGGTTGTGTTTGTGACTGTGTGCTTGTGATTGTGTGTTTGTGGATGTGCTTGTGGCTGTGTGTTTGTGATTGTGTGTTTGGGTTTGTGGTTGTGATTGTGTGCTTGTGAGTGTATGTTTGTGATTGTGTTTGTGGTTGGTTTTGTGGCTGTGTGTTTGTGGTTGTGTGTTGGTTGAGGTCCGGCAGCGCCCAGCGCGCTCGGGAGCTCGCGATTGAGGTCCGGCGGGGAACACTGCCAGCCGGAACTCGCAGTTGAGGTCCGGCGGAGGCGGGCGAGCCGGGCGAGGCGGAACTCAGATGACATAGAATCTAACAGCCCTCACCTGACAGGTGGGAAAAAATAACACAGCTGACAACCCCAATAACAAAGCATCCACCAAGCTCTCGGGCATTTGTTCTGCATGCGTTGTGTTTGTTGCTTTGTTCTTTCAGAATTCATCGAGGACAATTCTTCAAAAACAAAAAATGAAATGCAATCCAATAGTTTATGCAACACAAACCATTTCAATACCCAAGCTAAATGTATGTTCCATGTTCCATAAACCACGAGGCACTTATATAAGGAATGTTCGCCGATGGCCGAATTGTATGTTCAAGTCCTCAAGTGTCTGCGCATGGTGTTTGCGTCTGAAGAGCCATTTCAGCACACCAAACGATTCGCACCAAGGAGATGTGTGTGTATGTCCTTTTTCACATATGCGTGCAAGTTTGATTCGGACAAAGAATGAAAGGAACACAGATTATACAGATGATACGAAGATATTATCACCAAACCAGACAGAAAGTGCAGTTAAGTACGAACACATACTTCATACACGAACGGTACAATGAATGCAGTTGTCAGAGAGACCATACTTCAAGTTCTGGCACCAGAGAAGATACACGTTTGGACATGCAAGCGCATTGTCTTTACAAAGTTTTGACAAGCAAAGGGGACGTTTCTAGAAAGTAAGCAGAAAAACCAGATCTAAGATCATCTAAGCAGTGGGTGTATGTACATGTGCCAACGCATGACTTATACACGAACGGAGACACAGTGTCAAGCAAGAAGATTTGCACACCTGGAAAACAGGTTTCCACCACCACCAAATCATTTTAGCAATCATGACATTTAGGCACAAAGTTACAAGCAAGTCCAACGTTTGTTGCTGGCGACCCACTGCAATGTTCCTTTCTGTGGACAGCAAAAGAGGCCAGCTTCGCGGTACGGCTAAGACGTCTCAACAGTCAACAGTGGTTTCATTGGGACCTGTATTCACAGTGTGGGTGGACGAGCGGTCAGTAGATAAACATAGCTTGGCGGGTGAAAGGCCATGCACATGCCCTCCTGGCGATTTTCCAATCATTAAGTACGGGGCCACCCTGTCACAAGCACGATTGCCTAGGCTTCCAGCTGTAGTCCGAGGTACTTGGTGCCTTCACTCTGTTTGCAAGTCAGGCTATCAGAACTAAATGTATAGTTTGCTGCAACTGTCTTGTCGTCCATTGGAATTCTTCCCAAGTATGAAGAAATCCTGGTCCCCACTGAGGGCACTGCCTTTTCACTCAGTGCTACAACACCGGGCCTTTGCAAGGCAAGTTATGTACAGTAGAACACAAAGACCTTCACAGTTCACAGATTGTTGTTCCTACCTAGGAACCAAATGGTAAAAAGAACAAAGTTAAGTACGCGCATTTTGGGTATGACTTCTAGTGGTGATGCTGGCGACGCATTCTAGCGACACATTACCTGGAGATGTATAAACGGTGACGACACACTGCGGCGATTAGGACGATTGACGACGCATTCCCCCCTGTACTTGGCAGGTCAATCTGGTGTCGGGTAAGACGCCAGGGGACGCTGCACGCAAGCAACTTACAGACACAGTCTTTGGAATCATAGAAGGTTGACAATATGTGTGTGAGAAGGGTCCAGTCACACATTGGACGCAATGCCAATCTAATTTCCATCACAGTCAAACTATGTGAGGGTCACTTTTAGGATGGAATCTCAGCAGCTGTTTGGTGGATTTTGCGGGGTCAACCCCGCTTGAAAGTTTCAATACGGAAATCTGGCCATGAATGAATCAATTAAATACATCTCAATGACCTCCCAACCCAGGTTCGCACGTTGCGGAAAGGATACACTGTAAGAAAGTGCAGCAATGAATTGTCATGTGCGAGCTGCATATTCTTATCCTCAAGGACGACTCCTCTTAAGGGACTCTATACCCCTCGTCGAATTCGTCTTCTGCGAGGGACTCGTTTTCGGGGGAAATTTGTCTTCGTGGAAGTCTTCGGAAAACGTCTTCGGGTTGCAATTCGTCTTCGCGGAACTCGTTGTCATTTGCAAAGCACGTCTCAGAATTCGTCTTTGTCTGCGGGTGGAAAAGTGATACCCGCAGAGCGGGAACAAAAAACATGCTGTGTTTCTCTTGGCAAATCTTGATACTGCGGTCCCAGAGTTACATCTACCGTTCTGGGCCCCTGCAAGTCTTTCCCCTCCAGGAGCTCCAAGGAAGCACCACCGCCAGTGCTGCAGTGTGTCACCTAGAAACAAATACCGGACCAAAACAAGCAAGCTTCGGGGAATCAAGCACATAGGTTTTGCCAGCTAAGCTCTCAGCTTTTGCTTCAGTTTCATACTTCTTGCAGCAAGTTGCAGTGTCACCTCCACCAATAATGGAGGTCGTACCTGAGATGGCACGATTAGATTTCTCGATTCCAACGGTGCAAACCCAGAAGCAGTGTATGTATGAAAAACAAAATATGATTGCTGTGAAATATGACATGTTTTTTTGAGATTCTTTAAGTGTCTTATTTCCTTTTCTTTCCTGCACTGCGTTTTTGAGGCATTGACCCCGTTTGGTGGCTGCGACAACATCATCCATCAAAACTTTGGTTCCTGTTTCGAAACCTCGTTCAATCGTGTTTCGAAACGCAACGCTGATAGAAAGAAACCAAATCTAAACATTGTGCTGAAGTCGGACAATGCTTCGGACAAACCTGTCAAAACATGTGTTAGTAAGATACGGAATGTGAATGGCAGTCCAAGTGAGGTAAATATGTCACATGATCCAACAAACAGTCCAGAACTTAGAAGCTTGGATACTCAGGCCATCACGTGCCATCTCAAAAACACCCATTGGTCCGTTCCAAATTATGGTCTTAGCCTGTCAAATGCAATGTGTGGCCCAAAAGAACATTTCGGTTCATGACCTTTGCAGCTGATACTTGCTGCCTTCTTCACTGCCTTTCGGTTCAGGTTTTGGCTTTCTGGACCGCAATCTAGACCTTGGTGCTCAAGATTTTGAAAGACGGACGATGCACACAAAACACGTGCATGGGAAGAACTGTGTTCACAAAAGGGGTCGCACCCATGAAGTTTTCTGGGATTCCTTCAGCCTGACAAAAGCACATGCATTGCCACTTATCTTGATTGACTGGTGTGTTATTCGGAAGAGGTTTCTCGTTGTCTTCCCACCTTGCTCACAGTCTTGACCTCGCCAGCCTCCCCAAACTCACTTGATACCTTGGTAGCACTTCAACTATGTCCTGTCTGTGAAAAATCCTGAACACTGTCAACTGCAGACTGGATGCAACAAAATCAACTGGAAGAACAATCTCCACCTGTGTCAATGGATGCACATCGGCGCAATTCTTGAAACTCTGTGAACAAACGTGATGCCACAGCTTAAGTGCATGTCTGACACAGCAGGACGTGGTTTTAATTTAGCCAGCTTTGTGAGTTTTGCGTGTGTGTGTGTCAAACCCTGTTTCCAAGGGTATAATTTAATTTAAGGCAGGGGGACAGAGCTCTCTGATGCTACTCTGTCCAACGATGCTGGGCATCAGAGAGGGAAGCATCCACTGCCCATGGATGTGTACCTGCTTTAACGGTTGAACAAGCTGTCCAATTGACCTTGTTTGTTTTCATGGTTCTTCATGATACTCCCCCTAAACCTTCCCACCGCGTTCTTGCAACTGAGCCGCGCGTTTTCGTGAGCGTTTCGTTTTCGTGCTTTCTGCAGACTTCAAACCATTTTGTTCAAACATCTACAAGTTTTGCGGACTCTTCACCTTACCGTTCTTCACCTTCCTTCCCAACGTGGCAATTGAGTTAACTGAAAACCAATGTCAGAGTGTGAGCCGCACAGTCTTCCCACTTGGGTGCTGGGTGTGACCCTCCGAAAGGAGGCGCCGAAACCATTCCGGAATTCACTGGTCCTTCATATTTATAACTGACCCTTTGCTTCTTCACTTTCATAACTGAATTAACGGATTTTTGAGCCGCCGAGCCAAGAAACGGACAATCTCAACCACCGAATCCAGAGCCGCCGGGCTATAAAACGGTAATCCACCCGCAATGAGGCAGGTTTCCCAAACCCCCCCCCAGCCGAGTTCTACTCCCTACCTATTTAGGGCAACATAGGGAAATGGTACTCGACACACTTGTGTGTCGGTGCCTTTCCCTGTGTTGTTCCTGTTCTAGTCTATCCTACCCGGGCGGTCTAAGACTAAAGTCCCGCTCCCTAGCTATTGCACTTAATTCATCTCTGCTAAGTAATCAGTAACTCTAGAGTGCTAGGTATTCAGACACACACATGTACACACACATGGACATACAGCCCCTCCCTGCCCCCCCCGCTTTCCTTCTTGCGCTTTTCGTCGTTTGTTGGGCTTTCTTTCAGGCTTTTTAGGTTGCTCTTGGGGCTCGTTTCCCTACCCCAGTCAAGGGCTAAGTATTCACTTTTTCTGCACCTACCTTTCTTTCTTGCCCTCTTAGCGCTGCTCTTTCTGTCTTTCTTGTCTTTTGTTTCTAAGGCTTTTTAGGTGACTATTCAGGTCTTTCACATGCGCGCCGCAAAGCGGCACCGTGTGTGTGTCAAACCCTGTTTCCAAGGGTCTAATTTAATTTAAAGCAGGGGGACAGAGCTCTCTGACGCTACTCTGTCCAAAGAAGCTGGGCATCAGAGAGGGAAGCATCCACTGGCCATGGATGTGTACCTGCTTTAACGGTTGAACAAGCTGTCCAATTGACCTTGTTTGTTCTCATGGTTCTTCATGATACTCCCCCTAAACCTTCCCACCGCGTTCTTGCAACTGAGCCGTGCGTTTTCGTGAGCGTTTCGTTTTCGTGCTTTCTGCAGACTTCAAACCATTTTGTTCAAACATCTACAAGTTTTGCGGACTCTTCACCTTACCGTTCTTCACCTTCCTTCCCAACGTGGCAATTGAGTTAACTGAAAACCAATGTCAGAGTGTCAACCCCTGGGCCAAGGGTTCACCACCACCACCACCTCCACCACTGTTTCACACGCAGGGGGTGCAAGCAGCCCATCCAGTCTTGCACCAACGAAGACACTGGATGCGTGCTGGTGATATCGATTTGGGACGCCAAATCGACGTACAAATCGACGTACCTGCAGAGTTCATCACACGCTGTTACTCCACTCTTCCACGTTTTGATTCCATGGTGGTTGACCATGCTACCTTCCCTAAAACAGGTTTCCCTCAGCTGCTTTCAGCCGCCGTCGTTCAGCCGCGCTTCTGCGGACAAGTGAACAGATTGTTCAACAATTTCCATTGCGCTGACCCTGTCACCTTGCGTTTCCCTCATTCCTTTTGACCTGGGAACTGAGTGTAACTGAATACAATTGTCAGAGTGTGTTTCGCTCAGCCGTCCCACTCGGGTGCTGAGTGTGATCCCCGTCACTGGGGCGCTGTCTCTTTGGGAACTCTTTAACGGAACTCACCACCGCTCACCGGAATTTCACTGGAATTCACCTCCACTTCCACCGAATTAACTGCCACAACGGCCGCCGGGCCAAAACACGGGACTTGCCAGTTCGCAGAGATTGCGTTTTTCCGCATGATCGCGCATGTCTACTCAAGCAGTCTGACCTGAGTTTTCAGCAGTTTAATTCGATTTGCATGAACACATTACAACACCACACACTAACATTCCACATGACTACAACTCCTACCTTTCCACAACAACACATACCCACTTTCCAAACACGCATTACCATTTCAATTTTTGAACGATTACACCAGCTGCAGTCTCCGCTGCCGAGCCGCGCCGCCGCCGCCGCCATTGCGAAGATTTTGCCACACAGCTGTCACGAGTTTTTCAACAGCCTTTCACTGGACGCCCAAGCGGGCCATGCAGTATCCCTGGCCTTACTCACATGCAACACCACCTCCACTACCCACAGCACCAACACAACCGACAACACCGTTGACACATCCACATACAGCACCAGCATTTCCTTATCCACAACATCCGGCATTTCCAGTACCACAACATCCAACATTTCCAGCTCCACAACCTCTGGCCATTCCAACTCCAACACCATTTCACTCAGCACCACCAACTGCAATGCCCTATAGTCCTCACTCCACATGGACCCTTGTACACCCTCTCAGCCACAACCGACGCAACCACAAACCACATATCAACCACAGGCACCTCCCCCATCCTACCTGGTGCAACAATTACACCACTCACCACCTACCGACCCCGCCACAGCCACTCCAACACAGCCACCTCCTGCACCTCAGCAAGCCCTTCTAACTACCACACCAACAGAACCCCAGTGGCACATGCCGCAAGGGGTCTGGCAACCTTATTCCGCATTCCCCCCAGCTACACCACATTTGCACCATCCTCCATCACAACCTCAACTGGCACTCAGTGATTCACCACAAGATCCACAACCACACCAGCAACCTGCACCACTGGATCCTAACAATCCAGTTCCCAACCCAGCAACCACGACCACTGGCTCACAACCCTCTCCATCGCCATCCATCACCTCGGCCCCACCGGCCACAGTGACCCCTGACCCTGCCGCCGGGGCACCAGCCAACACAGTTTCACCTGCCCAACCATCCCCCCACCACCCCCACAGCAGTCGCCGCCACCATCACAAGAGCCGCCGCAAGACCGACCGCCGCCGAAGCGGTCGCCATCGACGTCGCCGTCGGCGCACACATCGCCACCACTCCACGACCACCAAACATCACAGTTCCTCCTGGCGACACCGCTCGCCATCCACATCCACATGTTCCTACTCCTCCACACCCTCCCGCAGCCGCTCCAGGCAACCGATCGACTTACGACCCAACACAGATGCCTCCGCAGCAGACAATACCAACACTGGCACCTCGAAATATCCACTTACACCAGTGGTCCGTCGACCATCCACCTTCTGGCGACCCACACCACACTTTCAAACCTTATCGCCAAAGGAGCAAATCCTCACTGGCTTGACTTTCATGCTGACCAGCTCGACGCCTCCAACCGACCTCACATCAATGCCTGGCCAACCTTCTCTTCGACAGCAACATCACATACAAAGACATCACTGATTTCCGGCAATACACCCATGTCAAGTGGAATGAAGCCACCCAGCAATACGATCAGTTCCAATACAACGCAATCTCACTACCTTACCTTAACACCAAAGCCTCCAGAACATCACCACCACCCGTTTCCCGCGCCACCTCCACTCACAGGGAAGTTGCCCACATCAACGCCGGACACACCGGCCCTGTCGGCAACATCACTAACATTCTACGACAAGGCCGTTTCCTACCCAGCGCACGCCACTTTCCAAACTATCCCGGATTCTTTGCTCAAGGCGTCCGCATTACCCACAACCAACAACACGACCACGGCGAATTTGCCCGCATTATCCACAATACCTGGCAACTCCACAAAAACACCCACTCCATCATCGTCACACTCCTGGCATGGGGCGCCGCCACGAAATACACCTCTGGCGGCGAAGAGCAGGCTATGACCCTTCTACACGACGACCACGGAGCAGTCTTTCATCAGAAAGGCAGATGCTGGGTCATCCACCCCGACCATGCCATTGTCAAAGGACTGGCATGGTCCATAACTCCACCCCACCGGACCTATGACCCCTCCACATACCACATCCCTGCAACCACCCATTACAACCTTGTTTCACCTAGCCACACTTTCGGCTTCGCCAATAGCCGAAAACAACGCTGGCGCTTGCAAAGCCATTCCAAGCTTCGATGTTACATGGCAACCAAGTTTCGATGTTACATGACAACCAGCGTTTCAGACTTGGAAGTTTTCAAGGGAACTGTCACTCTTCAGTTGCGACTTTTTCTCCACTGTTTCAAGCTGATTTTGAATTCATTTCGCATGACTTTTGGCCCGGTTTTGTGATTAATTCGTTTGCACGCTCCCGTGATGCTGCGCTGCCGTTGACCAGCCGCCACGCTGCCGAGCCGCCGCGCTGCAGCTACGAAGTGCGAAGAACTCCAACCAATCATCCTACAAGCATTCCCAACTTATGACCAGCACTTAAACCCACCTCCTCATGACGACACCAATACATTACTACACCAAACGACAGTGGCGCTTTCTCAGATCCACAACCTCCTCCGACAAGCAACTGACATCATGGCACATCTTCACACTCGCTTTTTGCATCACATCGGACAGGCAGATCCCACATTCCACCGACCCTTTACACAACTGCCACCAGCACCAACATACTCCATCAATTTGCCCTCCCCAACCTCTTCCTGCGACTCTGCACCACCCAGACCACGAGTCCGCCCACCACCACAGCCTTCCATACTCC